GCAGTTTTTCTTCATTTAAATAATATTCTGTTCTTTGGTTCTCCCTTCCAAAATGAGCAACCTTACATTTTCCCGCATTATACTTTGTTTGCAAAATTTTTGCCCACTTACTTGACCTAACACATCTCCCTGCAAACTGTTATATACCTCTCTCAGACCGCCCTTCCATCTATTTTTGCGTTGTCTGCAAATTTGGCTGTGGTATTTTCCCTTCCTTCCTCCATGTTAGTAATATAGAGTGCAAACCAACACTGATCCTTGTGGTACCCCACCAGCCAGAGTTGCCGACCCATAAAAGAACCTCTTATTCCCACTCGCCATTTCTTGCCCCTGAACCAATTTTCTATCCACATCAATTTAGTACCCCCAATACCCTTATCTCATGACTTAATCTTTTGTGGGGTACCTTGTCAAATGCCTCCTGGAGGTTCAAACATATCTACTGGTTCCCCTCTATCCACTCTGGCTGAGACTTCCTTGGAAAAACTCTGATAAGTTAGTCAGAAATGATTTCCTTTTCATGAAGCCATGCCAACTCTCCTTGATTTGATTATGATTTTCTCAATGTTCTGCTATTACTTCCTTAATAATTGATTCCAGTATTTCTCCAACAGATGTTAGGCTAATTGGCCTGTAGTTATCCACTTTTTGCCTCCCGCCTTTCTTGGATAAGTATGTCACATTGGCAATTTTCCAATCCTCTCGTACTTCTCCAGAACCCAAACAATTTTGGAAAATTACAGCCAATGGATCCACTGTCTCTCTAGCTGCCTCTGGGATCCTAGGATGCAAACCATCAGGGCCAGGGCACTTAACTGCCTTTAGCCCCATTCGTTTGTGTAGTACCACTTCCTTAGTGATATTGATGGTACATAATCCCTCCCCTGTATTCTTTAGCACTAATGCAATGTTTGAAGTATCTTCCACAATAGAGACAAATACAGACTATCTGTTTAACTCCTCTGCCATTTCCTTGTTTCCCAATAGCTGTCTTCTCCAGATTCATTTTCAAAGGGGCCTATGTCAATTTTGACCTTTCTCTTCCTTTTTATATATTTAAGAAACTCTTATTGTCAGTTTTTATATTTTTCACTAGTTTGGCCTCGTTTATTTTGTCTGTCTTTTTTAATCTTTTAGTCCTATTTTGCTGGATTCTGAACTCCCCCCACCCCAGTCTTCATGGTTATCACCGACTTTGGTCTCATTATATGCTTTGTATTTCAGCACTAATACTCTCCTTAACTTTTGTTATGGATCAAATCAAACCGTCTCAAAATATATAAAGGAGATTGCCTAGACCCTAACTTTTATCTTACTTAAAGGCAAGTGTAAAGTGCTGTGTTCCAAATGTGATTGATTGGTCACACTGTTAGGCTTTAAGCAAACACACTTATTCTTCTGCCACTGTTAAAACACAAACAAAAAAAAAACAGTTGGCACAACTTCAACTCTATCGAAATAATACATTATTTAGCTATTACTCATCAACTGTTCCAATAAAGCTGCATCCCATAAACACACCCTTGGCAAAGGCAAATTCAGCAAAATAGATTTCCCTCACTTGCTATCTCTTCCAATCTAGAAGAAAAGAACACTGACTGAATGGATTTAGCAGCAGAGAGAGAAAACTCAAGCTTTTTGCAGCAATAGAGAAAGAGCTGTATCTAGCAGCTTCAGTTCCAAAACCCCAGCTTCAACAACTGAAAGCTGAACTAAAATCCTGAGCTTTTATGAGCTTGACTCCACCCACTCATGCTTTTTCTGTCTGATTTTTAAAAACTCAAAGTTCTTTACTCTGCTTTCCATGGAGCAGACACCTCAGCACCAGGTTGACAGCACCCCTCTTCAAGAGAAACAGGACTGAACAAATCGCTCTTCAAAGCACATATTGTCTCAACTTCCTCAGTTCGGCATGGTTGGTTTATCCCTCTCCTGGAATCTTTCCTCCTTATTTGGATGTATCCTTGCTGAGAGTCATGAATTACCTCCTTAAATGTCTGCTGCTGCCTGCTTACTACCTTCATACTAATCTGTCCACCCAGTTCACTTTAGCTAAGCCTGTCCTCATTTCATTGTAATTTCTTTATTCAAGTTAAACACTGTTGTTTCCAGCCCAGTTTCTTACTCTGGAACTGAATGTTTAATTTTACCATGTTATGATCACTACTTCCTAGGGGATCTTTTCCTCAGGTAATTTATTAAACCTGCCCATTACTCATTATCCATTACCAGATCCAAGATAGCCAGCTATCTGGGTTGGCTCCATGACATGTTGCTCGAAGAAACTATCCCTAATTCACTCGATGAATTTGTTGTCAGTGCTACCTTTTTCAATTTGATTAAAGCAATAAACAAGAATATTAAAGCCACCCCATATTTATTACTGTATTCTTTTTGCATGCTCCAATTATTTGTTGATTTATAGCCTTTCCTACGGAGTGGCTAATGCTTAAGGGCTCTTTACACTATTCCTACCAATTTCTCCTTTCCCTTGCTCTTTTATACCTCTGCCGATATGGTCCATCTATCATCCGAACCTAGATCATCCCTCACAACTATCCTCATTTCATTTCTTATTAACAGTGTTACCCTATCACCTTGTCCATTCCTTCTGTCTCTCTGAAAGGTCAAATATCCCTGAATGTTATGTTCTCCTTGTAAACCATGTTTTCATAATGGGTATCAGTCATCAAATGATAGCTTGAAGACTGGAATAAATTCAGAATCCAGCAAAGGAGAACTAAAAAGATAAATACAGATAAGATAAACTATGAGATCAAACTGTCCAGGAATATAAAAACTGACAATAAGAGCTTCTTTAAATATATACAAATGAAGAGAGAGGTCAAAGTGGACACACTCCCATCCTCATCAGTAATTTAGAAAAGGGAAGCTGAAATAATGTGACATTGTAAAAACTCTTGGAAACCACTTTTAGATTTTAACCAGAAGTACAAGTGACCTGCCTGTTATCAAATACTCTGTCAGCAAATGAATTAAATTCGTCATAATTCTAATTTATGCTGCACAAAAATAACAAAACATCCACAGTGTGGTAATGCGATGTATCTTCATGATATTTCCTGATCTGGATTTCCTACTGACAAATTGACTGTGTTGTGAATACTTTCCTATCCTGGATGGGGGAAAAGTCTGTGATCATTGCTCCCAAGTAAGTATTAAGTGAGATTTAGCCACACACCTGCACATACAACACCATTGCTGGAACTTTGCAGTTCTGGTTAAAAGTGTAATGAAAAGGAACTGAAAACAGTTTTCTGCTGTCCTGATTCCCACATCATTGCTGAACACCCTGTGCCCTATTAAACTGATTTCAAGGTTAAACAGTTTGCACCTTGACCCTGTGATCTTCAATGGATTCTATTGTCTCCTTTTACTTCACCATTGAGAATCATGTGTCACAGAAAGAGGCTATTTGTCCCAAGGTGGCTGTGCCAGCATTTTGGACGCGCTCTACAATAAGTCCCACTCCTCGTGTTCTATCCTTAAGGGGTTATATGGCCTACTCCTGTTCCTATTTCTCAGTCTTTTGACCTAATCCCTTTAAAAGTGCAGATATATGAAGAATGCAAGTATTCTTGGCTGTCATTGCAATTGGCAGTTGATGTTGTAAGCCAATTTCTCTAAGGAATTAGACAGAAACCAACAAACAGAAGGAAGGGATAGCAAGAACTGCAGATGCTGGGGTCAGAGACAACAGTGTGGAGCTGGAGGAACACAGCAGGCCAGACAGCATTAGAGGAGCAGGAAAGTTGACATTTTGGGTCGGGACCCTTCTTCAGAACAGAAGGAAGGTTAGGTCATGTTGTAATGACTCAGTGCTTCAATTTCAAACTGTGCTACCACTGAACTAGATTTGACTCCCAGAATATCTCCACATTGGCTGCATGAATTCTTTTGATTCTCAGTTGTCAATTGATTTGGTGAGTCAAAGTTGACTATTTCAATTCTGTCCTTGTCTTCCGCCTTTTGCCCCACTCCGCTCCTCCTCCAGACATCCGCTATTTCCACTCCTCGCTCTTCTGTTTGAGAAATGCGAGCAGGCAACGCAGGGGTCAGAGTGCATTACCTCGGCAAGCTTCGATGTGGACATTGAGAACTTCGTTCACCAGCAAGAGCAAGAGCACAAACCCTTCTTCAGTGATGATCCTGAGATTGACAGCTTGGTGCGTTACTCTTTGGTAACTATTGATGGCAAAAAATGAAAATGTATTTCCCATGTAAATGAATGGCTAATTACAAATGTAACAAGTGTGAAAGCATTTTTCTATGTGAGACACTGGTTCTCAAGTACTTTTTTAATCATTAAAATTAATCACTGTGACCAAATCTGCCATTAGAAATATATTTAAGGTCTTTCAATTAAATCATTTCCTTCAACCTCGGTTATTGAATTACATCAGAGGCAGAACATCACTTGCCATATGGTTCTAGGCATGCACCAATGATAGGATGTCTATTACATGTTGTGCACTGTATCGAGAGTAAGAGTTTATAGTTGTTGTAACTTGAGCTGGAACCCCTATTGATATTCTGCAAAGTCAAGACCGTTAAAGACCAATTTTTCTCTTGTCCACCTCTGTAATTACTCATTTTTGGCAATTTATTGTGTTTACGTGTTAGCTTTTCCCTGCAAGGTTAGTCTATCTTTCTCCCAGCGTAGCTTAACCTTTCAATTGTTGAAGATTTTGACTTCTTGCTGGGATGTAGTATCTATTATTTTGGCCCAGTGGTTATTTATTTTTATTGCAGCAACTTTAGACAGTGAGGTAATAGCAAGTTATTTACTCCAGAGTGGTTAGTACAAGCCTGAATCCATTCCCATTGAGTCTCCATACTAATGCACTTTACAAAAGGGATTAACATTGGTAACTAGAAAACCTATTCTTGTCTTTTATTCCATTTCCCCTCACTAGTTCAGGTATGAACATGCTAATTAGGAGAAAGAGTGAGTGCTGATTGGTGCTAACATGCAGATGATACAGTTTCTAAAGTAAAAGCAAGCTACTGTGGATGGTCTGAAATTAAAACACAAATTGTGAGAGAACCTCAGCAGCCATCTGCGGAGAAAGAAATTTTTAACGTTTTGAGTCCAGTATGACTCCTCTTCAGAACAGGTTTCCCCAACACTTTCTGTTTTTTTGCAATTTCTAATATGGTTTCAGTGCCAAGGGTGGGTGAAGCAGCTATCTTCCTTAGGAATTCATTTCCTGTTACCCTATTTCTGTCAGTTGAGCAGCTCTCTCACCTTCTGGAGGTTTCCATTAACTCATTCTGTCCAAAGAGTTAATTCAAAATATCCTGATCCATGTGGATGAAACATCAACAAATTGGTGAGGAAATGAATGATCAAAGTTGCTCATTTATTTTGGTCCTATGTCCAAGAGGCAAAGGAGCCAAAATTGTCATTCTGTCATGTGATCAGTCAGTGAGAAAGGCAAGGGCCTGGAAGCTAGCAGCTTCCCTTCTCCTGTGTCTGAATCCCCTCCTCACAGCTGGTGGCTGCCAGAATAGAGAAAATCAGAGCTGATGAGGTCTGAGTACTGAGCCCCTAGATCTCTAAGCTGGGACTTGTAGGCCATGGATTTGAGCCCAGCAACGGTGACACTAATGATTGCTCACTTCTGGCAGCGATATTAGCTGTGATCCTGGGGTGTTAACCATAGATTATCACACAAATGGTAAACAGAGAGGTTGATTGGCAGATTTTTTATTGGAATACACTCTTAAGATTGTGACCACAAGTGCATGATTTACGCTGTCTTTAAATTGGAGACTTCCTAAATAGGTGGCTGTGCTTTCATTGGCTGATGCTTCTCGTCAGCACCATTACTGTTTTTACTTTATGAATATTAATGAAGCCCGAAGGATTAATGTAACATTTAATTATGTGTTAGCTGCTTTGAAAGGGAAGCGTGGCAACATGAAAAAGTGTTGCTCTGGGCCGTGTCAGTGCTACGTGCGCTTGTGTGAGGTGGGGGGGTTTGGGTGTGGGGAAGCTAGGTGGGAGAGAAAAGAAACAGAAGACTGAGAATATCTAGCGAGTAGTCTGTGGTTATGTTGAATGAACAATGTAGTAAGGGAGTCCAATCAGTCAATTCAACTCCATAGAATGTTAAAAATAGTTCAATCTGCTGTTCAACTCCAAACAAGAGGATCGAGATCACCCTTTAACTAGTTCAGTCCCAATTCAAACAATGACATTTACCTCAGAAGATTGCTGTTCCCACTTGATTAGCCTATACCTCATTCATGCTGGAGCTATAGAGCCAAATCCACTTTCTCCATCATATGCAGCTTAATAGAATTTTTTAGAATCTGGGAAAGTGCTGAATTTGGCCACAATGGTGCCAGTGGGAGCGGTGGTTAGCCTGTCAGAAGGGCAGGAAGACAGAAAATCTGAGCTACCGCTGAATTTAATGGCAAGGCCATTCTGGAACACCTTATCTGTTAGCCAGTCAGTAGCCCTGGTTGAGAGGCTAGCCAGTTGTCAGATGGAATGTCTGATGGTAGATAGCTGCAAGGTAGGACCAGAGGGAGGACAAAAGTATTGAGAGGGAAAGGGAAGAGAGAGCTTTGGGATGATCATGAGTTGGCATGGCGATCTGGTCAGAATTATGGGGGAGAGGGTCTTAAATTCGGATCATAGGAACATAGGGGCACTCCATTCAGCCTGTAAGGCCTGAAGTGCCATTCAATACTATCACGGTGATCATCCATGTCAGTGCCTTTTTTCTTCACAGTATCCCCATACACCATTACATCATTGGCATTTTTGAAAACGGCCAGTCTTTAATTTATACTTAATGACACAACTTCCACAGCCCCCTGGGGTAGAGAATTTCAAAGATTCAGCAATCTGAGTTCAAAAAAAATCTCATCACCTCAGTATTAAGGAGGAGGCAATGGCCTAGTGGTATTATCGCTGGACTATTAATCCAGAGACCCAGATAACATTCTGGGGATCTGGGTTCTAATCCCGCCATGGCAGATGGGGGAATTTGAATTCAGTAAATATTTGGAATTAAGAATCTAATGATGACCATGAATCCATTGTCGATTGTCAGGGAAAGACCCACTTGGTTCACTAATGTCCTTCAGGGAAGGAAACTGCCATCCTTACCTGTCCTGGCCGACATGTGACTCCAGACCCACAACAATGTGGTTGACTCTGAACTGCCCTCTGGGCAATTAGGGATGGAAAATAAATGCTGCATAGCCAGTGACGCCCTCATCCTGTTAATGAATAAAGGAAAGAAAAAAGTGCCGTCCCCAACACTTTGGATTTGTGTTCCCAAGTTCTAAAATCCACAGCCAGGTTAAAAATGTTACCTGCATCTACCCTGTCACTCCTACATAAGGAGGAGCTCTCCAGTCACCGGGACAGGGCTGCTGAAGATTTGATCATGGGCTGGTTAGCTGGCCACAGTAGCTACTGAAGATTAGATCACAGGATCTTGGGGGAAGATCACTGCAGTTAAACTGGGGCCCCAAACGGAAGTACACTCGCTCCTTTTGGGCCACAAGCAGTGTTGGAAACCCCATTACCTACAAGTATCCCTGTTAGAACATAGAACATAGAACAGTACAGCACAGTACAGGCCCTTCGGCCCAAGATGTTGTGCCGAACTTTTACCCTAATCCTAAAGTCTATCTAACCTCCACCCCTACCTTATTTTATCACCCATATGCCTATCTAATAGCCGCTTAAATGCCCCTAATGAGGCCGACTCCGCTACCCTCTCCGGCAATGCATTCCCCGCCCCTACCACTCTCTGAGTAAAGAACCTACCTCTGACGTCTCCCCTGTATCTACCTCCACTCACTTTAAAACTATGCCCCCTCGTAATAGCTACCTCCACACCAGGAAAAAGTCTCTGGCTGTCCACTTCTATACCTCTGATTATTTTGTACACCTCTGTCAAGTCACCTCTCATCCTTCGTCGTTCTAAAGAGAAAAGCCCTAGCTCTCTCAACCTTTCCTCGTAAGACCTTCCCTCCATTCCAGGCAATATCCTGGTAAATCTCCTCTGCACCTTTTCCAATGTTTCCACATCTTTCCTGTAATGAGGCGACCAGAACTGGACACAATACTCCAGATGTGGCCGAACCAGGGTTTTGTATAGCTGGAGCATAACTTCACGGCTCTTGAACTCAATCCCTCTATTAATGAAAGCTAACACACCATACGCCTTCTTAACAACTCTATCCACCTGGGTGGCAGCTCTCAGGGAACTGTGAACATGAACCCCAAGATCCCTCTGCTCCTCCACACTGCCAAGAATCTTTCCGTTAACCCTGTGTTCTGCTTTCAAATTTGTCCTTCCAAAATGAATCACTTCACACTTTTCAGGGTTAAACTCCATCTGCCACTTCTCAGCCCAGCTCTGAATCATAGAATCCCTACAGTGTGGAAACAGGCCGTTTGGCCCAACAAGTCCACACCGACCCTCCGAATGCATCCTATCAATGTTCTTTTGTAACTGAGAACAGCCCTCCGCACTATCCACAACTCGACCCACCTTTGTATCATCCGTGAGCTTGCTAATCCACCCTTCCACTCCTACATCCAAATAATTTACAAAAATCACAAATAGAAGAGGACCCAGAACAGATCCTTGTGGTACACCACTCGTAACTGAGCACCATGCTGAATATTTTCCATCCACTACCACCCTTTGTCTTCTAAGGGTCAGCCAATTCTGAATCCAATCTGCCACATTTCCTCCTATCCCATGCCTCCTTGCTTTCTGCATGAGCCTACCACGGGGAATCTTATCAAACACCTTACTTAAATCCATGTATACCACATCCACTGTTCTACCTTCATCCATGTGTTTGGTCACCTCTTCAAAGAATTCAATAAGGTTTGGGAGACATGATCTACCCCTTTCAAATCCATGCTGACTATCACAAATCAAACTGTGCCTATCCAAGTGATCATAAATCCTATCTCTCAGAGCCCTTTCCAATAATTTGGCCACCACTGAAATAAGAATAACAGGCCTCTAATGTCTGGGGTAATCCCTATTCCCTTTTTTGAACAAGGGAATGACGTTTGCCACTCTCCAATCTTCCGGCACTATATCCATGGACAGTGAGGACGAAAAGATCAGCCCCAAAGGCCCTGCAATCTCTTCCCGCGCTTCCCGTAGAATCCTTGGAT